AAAAATGTCTGGTGCGGTACATTAATCACTAACATAAAATTGTCTGATTATGATGCACAATGTATCCACTATTTTTTTACACATACTAACCACAAACCCCATATTGTCAAACCATATCAATTGAGCCCAATCATTGGTGATTATAACATTAAGTAAATTATTACCATCATCAACTCGGTCAGGTCCTTGGGGAGGAATGGAAGCACAGGCTCATCTGTCTGATATTTTTTCAGGAAGGGAGTGAAGGTCCTGGCGAGTGCCGCGTAAAACTGCAATTTGGCCAAGATGAGTGGATCCTTCATGGCTGCTGCAACTGTGTCATAGGATGCTGAGAGACAGATAGACAGACAGACAGACAGACAGGCATTTCAACTTTGCCATATATTTCAAAAAGTATGACAAGGCCACACCATCACCAGGGTCACAGTCACAGACCTATTCACAGCATTTCAGAAGGGCCTACCTGTTCCAGGGTTCGAGAGTGTCTTTGTTTTCACAGCTTCCATGTACAGGAGCAGTGATGGCCAGACTGCCAGGGCTCTCTCCACAACTGGAAGGTTTTCTACCCAACGATGGGCACAGAAAGACAGGGGGAACACACTAGACTTGGTTACTTTGATGTAATCCTCTCTCCTGGCGGGCACATTGTGGAACAATGTGTGCATGGCCCTTAACAACTTGTCCAGCTGCCATGCATTGAACCCACACTTGAATGCGTTGTGCAGTGTGTGTAGTCCACAGCTCCCCACACAAATGAGCTGAACACCTGAAGGTTTCATGACAAACTTGATATTAGAAACCAAATTCTCTGTAGAAATGCTTTGTAGAACTCTTGAGATTGTTTGTTCAATGTACAGTGCACTACAAATAAAATGTATTATTATAATTATTTATGGATCACATACACACCCACGCACACACAGTAATAGCATTATAAACTCCTCACCTCCATACTGCTCAGCTTGATTTATCTGGAAAAGGTCGAAGAGTTTCCAATTCACACTGGGCCCATCCATTGAGATGGACACCAAGTCCTTGAGGTTTAGTTTGTCTATACATTCCTGAAAAAAGGGCTACATTTGATTACTCAAGATAAGAGGAATAGATGAGCACATATTATGGGAAGTACCTAATTGGTCATGTAACATTGCTTTTACAGGGCGGTATATGCACAAAAATTCTAGTCTATCAATATAAATTGAGAAACATTTAAGTAGAAAGGTTATGCTTACTTTGAGATGCGACAGCAGGTCTTGTGCAGTGGAATGTCCCATAAACCGGGAACCCAGATATCTGGACTGAATCTGTCCCTCATCCCAGAAACGGACATGCACATCCAGCTGTTTGTTTTTCGTAGTCTCGTTGATGCTCTCATCAAACATTAGAACGAACGGCGATTTGTTAACTTTGGACAACAGTTCCTCTTTGATATGAACAGCTAAACCAAACTTGGCTATGTAAGCCGTTTTGTCGGGACCACAACTAAAGGTGTTAGCGATGTCTGAGTCGGGGAACATGCACTTGAAAAGCTCTGAGATACCCTCATTTCCATTGTAGGACTGGTGTTTGGCGATGGTGTTAAGAGTCCACAACACCTCTGCTTTCATCGTTGGTGTGGACCCAAAAGCTGTGCGCAGACCCACTCTAACGTTAGTTGCGGTCGTAGCTGGAGGGGCTGCAGCGCTAGCAGCTGGCTGGTTAAGGTTATCTGCTGCCGCTTCAGCAGGTTGAAACACGCCGGCGATTGAAGGAGTTTGTTCTTTACCTTTGATGGAGTTCTTGTGCTTAGACGACTTGGCATGAGACTCTAACCCCTTCGCGCCCATTGTGCCTAGTTGAATCCTTTTTTTGCATACGGTGCAAAAAGCCTCGAATACACTGTTGTCCACTGGTTTTAACCAA